ATGTCTATTTAATAGAATTAAAGAGAAAGTATTATCACATGAAACGAAGCAAATTAAACAACTTACATTAAAAGAAATGTTTAATAAAGTAAACAAATAAATATTTAGCTTTTTCTTTTTTTAAATTTTGATACCCTTTAGATCATAATTGCTGTTTATTTCATAAATTACGGTTTCATATTTTTAATTTTATAATTTCTGCATGCCATCTTACCAGATTTAAACTGATGATCTATAATCCAGAAAAATCGATAATCCGGAATCGCCGAAGTCCCGACGAGTCCGGATTAACGACTTTTGACTGTATATACTTTTAAATCTTAGCATACGATACACACGGGATTTGGCAACTTTGGCGACATCATGATGAGCAGTACACGCGGTGTTTATAATGAGGTGTAAACGTGTCATTTTGGTATTGGTGACAATGGCTAAAGTGCAGAATAGCGCACTTATTTGTTTGGCACTTTTTACAAGAGCAAGAAGAATTGGATTTTTGTCAATTTTCTTTGATTTTTTAAGTGAAAATAGGTCAATGTGTACATGGATGAAGTCAAGGGAGTGCACAATGCCATTTTTGTGCAATTTGGGAATGTTTTTTTAAGTGAAAATAGGTCGATCTATACATGGATACCGAGCATGTTCAAGTCAATGAAATTATGTCTGTTTAATAGAATTAAAGAGAAAGTATTATCACATGAAATGAAGCAACTTAAACAACTTACATTGAAAGAAAAATTTAATAAAGCAAACAAATAAATATCAAGTTTTTTTTTTTTTTTTTTTTTTTTTTTTTTTTTTTTTTGGGGGGGGGGGTAAATTTTGATACCCTTTAGATCATAATTGTTCTTTATTTCATAAATTACAGTTTTTCATATTTTAAATTTTGTAATTTCTGCATGCCATCTTACCAGATTTAAACTGATGATCTATAATCCGAAAAAAATCGATAATCCGGAATCGCCGAAGTCCCGATGAGTCCGGATTAACGACTTTTGACTGTATATACATTCTTTCTGACAGCTAATCAGCCATACTTGCCCTGGCTAATCATGTCAAGTTACAGAACTGTGTTTTTGAACTGTACTCCAGATCTCAGTTCTCTGGCTCAGGCAAATAACACCATTAGTTTAGTTTGGGTCCCAGGTCATTGTGATTTTGCTGGAAATGAACTAGCTGATAAAGTAGCTAAAGATGTTTCGCAACTACCCATGTCTGGCCCAGAACCATTTTACCCAGTTTCATATCAAACTGTTAAAAAAGAAGAACAACAAACATGAAACTAAGAAGCTGGATAAAGAACAAACATGATGATGTATGGTCTAAACTACCAGACTGTGCTCATTCTAAATTGGTGCTCAGTACACTCAACTTATCAGGTAAACTCATACACCTCAGTAGAACTAACTTATGCCAGGTAATTCAAATTGTTACCGGACATGTTTATCTGGCCAAGCATCTCCACAAATGTGGTCTTGTCGAATCTCTTCTCTGCCCAGCTTGTGGAGAAGAGGACACACCTTTTCTCTTCCTGGGACGATGTCTGGTGTTTTCTGCCCCTAGAAACAAATCCCTTGGGTTTCCCTATATTAGCTTTTATCAAGCCCTTCTACACAAAGGGCTTTCTGGCATAATAGGGATTCTGATACTAAACACCTACAGATAAGGTGAATTTGAAACCACAAAAAACAAGCATTGAGACCCACTGTGAGTTATGCAAGGATATCTGTGTTTTGGAATATAATTTGGAAATAGATATCAAAACTTTATACACCACCTGCACATTTGGCTTAAGAAAGTACCTCTGCTCTCCTTATTTAATTAATTAATTTATTTTAGACTCACCAACACACCCTTGTTTGGTCAAGAGTTTGCGTGTTAGTGGTTTAGACGGGATTAAATCAGCTCTTCATCCAACTGGGAAGTTTTAACTATTTAACAGACACATTGAATTTAGAGATGGGATCTTTTGCTAATACTATATATTTGGTGTCAGTTTGGGATCTTATCTATTCATTTATTATTTACCTTTCACGGGAGTTACCATTTAAAACCTTTGATTTAAATGTTCAAATGGCAGAAGAGCAATGGGCAACATTGTTTAAGCGCTTTTCCTTCTTTTCATAACAAGGAAGTGCTACTAATGTTATGTTATGTTGAACCTCTTATTTAAAAAGAACTTGGAATATACAGGCAAGTTCTTATGTTGACAAAATAAACTACAGCTTGTGAGGATGCAATTAAACAGAAACAGCCAAATTCAAACTCAAAATGTGGACTAGAAGTCAAAGATTACATAATTTAAATTTAATCTAAGGTGACTCAGTAACTTTATCAAAGCAACAAATTCAAATATTAGCAATGATAATGCAAATATGAATAATTACAAATTATCATAGGTGGCAAGAATTAAGGCAACATCCAAGTGGAGGGCAAAAACATTCTTACAATCTCGGTTTAAAAACTATCTGATTTGCATTATGGTGAGGAAATGGAAAGGGGAAGTTATAATAAAGGCTAAAATTCTAAGCAACTCATATAACAACTGATCTAAACAACTGATTAGTGGATACATATTTTTGAAGAATAATTTCCTTCCTCTTTATATGCATGCAGTTTCTTTCAATCTGTTTCCTCAACATTTTAGAATTTTTTGGAATTAAAGATTTCTGTTATTTTAAAAAAAAAACAAATGCATTTAGAATATAAAGAAAAAGCTGCTAATTTTATTTCTTTAGTAACATGAACATTCAGAATAAACATGAATATGAAATGTGGAAAGGGCTGGTTTCAGAGCTGATGAAGCAGAATATTTAGATTTTAGTGACACACCAAACAACAAAATTTAGAAATGGCAAAACTTTTAGAATTTAGGAAGGAACTAGGCGGCAGAATTTAGGATTCACAGAGATTTCATCAGGTGGGAAAATGCCCAGCCCTGTTTATGATCTATTGAGGCATATAGGTGAATCTTTTAAATTATCAGTTTTCAATTTCTTTATTAATAAAAAAATTCTTTTTTATTAACTTTTTCGCCTGTCCATATGAAAAGATTGGAAATATTTTTGATATTTTCCATCCTTGTGTCTAGTTAAAAGTTGAGAAAATAAAGAGAAGATACACATGTTAAGAAAAAGACTTCTAACGCCAGAAGAACAACATTCAAACATTATATTTTCATTGACCTTCCAAAAAATCTTCACAATGTAAGAAATTCGTCATAAAATTTCTGTAAAATACATCCATTATGTGTTAATACAATGAAGATATTTTTCATTTTGTCACATTTTTCTAGAGCCTTCTAGAATTGTGGGTCTGTAAATCTTGCCTTCGAATCCTTCTAAACTTTTCAAGTTGCAATGTCTAAAATCCTAAAGAAAAATTAGCCCTGCCAATTCTGTAATAGAAAAAAAGGCCAGAAATATTTTGAAAAAAAAATCAGTGGATAAAAGTATGAAAGTAATTTTATAGAGAAAACATGCATATTCTGATAATTCTGAAACAATTACATGGGAAAACTTCTTCCCATGAAAAAATTAAAAGGAAGAAATTTTTAATTAATTACATAGCTATTTTGCTTTTTCTATGAATTGTTTTTTAAACTGTGCTTTGTAGCATTTATTACCTTGTTTATTTGGTTATAGTCACCAAAACGGAAAGTAATGTATCTTCATAATAAGACAGAAAAAAAATATCTTAAATTTTTTACTTTAATGTTATTTCTTAAATATAATTTCAATATGTTACCATTATTTTAGTTAAATAAATCTATCAATGTTATAATGTTTTAAAAACAAATCTTCAAAAAATTCCCAAATTTCCGAATAAAAAATTTTCTATAGAAACTGATATTAGAATTGCCAAAATGTTGGTAAATCACTGAATTTCAAGCCGTTTAATAAAAGAATTCACATAAACAAAAGCAGAAATTTGTTTAAAAGCTCTTCATTAGAAAAAAAAAAAAAAATGAAATGATTTTGAAATGCTTATGTTTCACTCCTTGCTCAGAAACTCCATTATCCCACCCTTTATATTACAAATAGGAACAAATTATAACCCATGAACCCATTCAAAAGATAATCATATTTGTTGGTGAATCGCCAAAAATATTTCTTCAAAATCATAATTCACACTCAAAATAGCAGTTGTAAAAACAAGATAGAAATTTCAGATGATTAAAATTAAGGACCTTCTGGCGATTTTGGCCAAAGTTAAAGACTTTTAATGACCATATGAACCCTGATTACTGATGTAGGGAAACTAATATTTTTTCCTATTAAATTCAGTTGTAATCCATATACTTGAAAAGCTGCCTGCAGTGGAAGAAACTGTGCAAAAAGTTTTACAAGAACAGAATATATGGCAATAGCAACACTGTTGTACGGGGGGAGGGACTTTTTATTTCCAGCATGCAAGACTGTGTATTGGAAATTCTAAAGATATGCTCATTTTAAAATTATTTTGCGATATTGCTTTTGAACTGAATTTTATGGTTTAAGTGCAAAGAACATGATATTTAATAAACAAAATGTTTAAAAAGACGCTCTTCTGCACGTAATTTAAAATCTGAATTTTTTTTTTTTTTTTTTTTTTTTTTTTTTTTTTTTTGTGTGTGTGTGTGTATGCGAATTCTACATAAAAATCATGAGAAGTTTTAAGAATAACAGAAAGTTGGGAGAAATATGTTGTAAATCAGGTTGGCGGGAGAACAGTAAAAAATTGGGAGAGTTGGCAACTCTGTTACTATTATGAAGGACTTTCTAAGAAATAATTCACACTAAGATTTTTCAATCTGAACTGTATTAAAATTAAAACCAGTTTTATTGAAAGCTATTTTCTATGGAGAATTAAAACATTCCACAGAACTGACTGAAACAATTTTCAAATGGCTAAAGATACTAGATATTAACAAAGAAAAATATTTAGGAAACAATTGAACATGAATTCTTTTTATTTAATTAAAAAATGAAAAGTACACATAAATGCAACAGAAAAATTACCTGTTGATTCTTACAGTCATATTATCTTCATCAATTAATCTTACTACTTTTATGGTATAGATACAATGGCTGAAACAGAACAAGGCATTTTGTTAAATATAGAATAAACAATATACAAAAACAATAAGTCCTGATGTCTAAGAAAATCATAAAAATCTCTTCAGCTTTAAGAATATATTTAAAATATTGATAATTTTTGTTTACTAGTGGATATGTGCTGTGAATGAATTTTTAATATGCTATGAACAAGTACAATTTTATGTTTTTTTAACAAGCCATTTCTTGCAAATTTGCATTTCACTGCATTTACATCAGGCAAAAAATCATGCCATGAAGACATTTAAGTGCTTAAGTGGAAGTTTTACTTGTTTAGTAACAAACAGCAGGGCCACACTTGGCAAAAGCAGACTGAGATTCAAGGTGCATCATTGGCTTTCAGCATTCTTTGCTTCCAGGGTTCATACACATTTCTGTACATGGAAATTAAGTACTTTTAAGGCCCATTAATGAAAAAAATTAAGGACCTATCAGCAAATGGGAGCTGAATAAATTCAATGAACTTATGTCTCCGTTTTTGTAATAACCCTCTAAGAATAAAATATATCCGTAAGTAGAATGCATTCTTATTAAACATAACTATAAAACAAATTTGAGAATAAAATCCACTTTAAAAAAAATAAAAAAATTTATCAGGTAGCAATAATATTTTACATGTATAATAGTTGGACATAGTTTGAAATAAGTAATTAGGGGCATTTTATTTGCATTTTACTAACAGTTAGCTTTATGTTGATTCTTTCTTTTACATCTCATTTTGCCACGTACTTAGTCTAGAGGTTTAGTAAACAGCAGGTAGATTTTTTGTCAAATGGCATAGGTTAAAATGAGAAATAAAATCATAATCAGCATGATTTGTAACAGAAGATTGGCTGTTTCCAGTGCTGCTGCTTGCCTAGAGAGAGATCTGTTGATCAGAGCAAACCTGAAAGGCCTGATGCAGTTTTGATAGTTAGTTGTGCTCCATCTGTCTGATGCAGTTAGTGATATAACTTCATGAAGAGTTCCTGGCATTGTAATCTAGTTAATATATTTTAAGGTTCCGATAAGCCTCTAATATACCAGAGGTGATAAGTTTTGTATTATTTTAAGTCTCACTAGATGCAAAGGATAAGTTTTACATTAATTTCTACATTTTTGTGCTGTATCTTGCGACCACAGTAAGGATTAATGAAAGGCAATAACTTAGTTTAATATGCAGAGATAACTTTCAAAGGTAAGTGGTTAGTTACAAATAATTAAATTAGGTATTATTATAGAATTGCATGACCACTAATAAAAATATTTGTTGAAAAAGCACTATGAAAATAATAATCTAATAGCATTTCACAGTTTAAAATGCATGCAATTTTATATTGTCAGTTTTAAATCAATGTCATAACACTGATTCTTAAATGGTACTAAGGTAATTCCACATTAAAAGCTATGTTTTGTAGCAACAACACATAACAAAATATTTATGCATTTTTTTAATCTGAAGCCTTCTCAGACATTTTGGCTTAATTTATATCAATTTTCTTCTCTTTATCCAAACAATTAAAAATCTGTTTCAATAAACAAACCAGAATTCCACCTAGTTTCTGTGTGCTTTATCTACTAATTTGCCAGTCTCTTAATAAGAGTATGTAATGAGGTTTTACTTGATCTGGTAAAAGTTAAATAGTCCAAAACCTCTTATAGACATGAAGAAAATTATTGCTATGTCTGAAAGTAACAGAAAATCACATAAAAGTTTAAATAAACCTTTTATTTAAAAAGAACTTAGAACATACAGGCACATTCCTATGCTGACAAAATCAACTACAGCTTGTGGTGATGTAATTAAACAGGGTCAAATTCAAACTAAAAATGTGGACTAGTAGTCAAAGACTGCATAATTTAATTTAAATTTAAGCTGGCTCAGTAACTCTATCATCATAACAAATTCAAATGTTAGCGGCGATTACACAAAGATGAATAATTACAAATTGTCAGAGCTGGCAGCTGATTTCCATTATGGTGAGGAAATGGAAAGGGGAACTTATAGTAAAGGCTAAAATCATAAACAACTGGTTAATTTGCATAATAATAACTGTATAAATCATGGAAGAATAATTTTTTTCCTCTTCATGCATTCAGTTCCTTTTTTCAATTAGTTTCCTCTTCACATTAGAATTTTTGGAATTAATTAAAGACTTCTGTTATTCTAAAAAACCAAATGCATTTAGAATGTAAAGAAAAAGCTGATAAATATGAAATGATCTATAGTAAGGGCTGGTTTCAGGGCCGATGAGGAAGAATTTTTAAAATTTAGTGACACATCGAGCAAGAAAATCTAGAAATGGCAACATTTTTAGAATTTGGGACAAGCAGAGGGAGCAAAATTTAGGATTCCAAGAAAAAGGGCTAGAAATATTTTGAAAAAAAAAAAATCAGTGGAAAATTATTTTTATACAGAAAACATACACATTCTGACAATTCTGAATATGCTGAGGTAATTACATGGGAAAATTTCTTACCATGAAAAAATTAATAGTAAGAAATTTTTAATTTATTATAAAGTATTTTGCTTTTGCTATGAATTGTTTTGTAAACTGTGCTTTATAGCATTTATTACCTTGTTTATTATTCAGATTCAAAGTACTCTATAATAAGTCACCAAACTGCAAAATAATGCCACTTTATAATATGACAGCAAAAGAAAATTAAAATTTTTAATGTTATTCCTTAAATGTAATTTAAATATATTACCATTATTTTAGTTTAATCATTTGTCAATGTTATACTATTTTCCAAAAAAAAAACCACCACATCGAAAAATTCCACAGATATCCGAATTGAAAATTTTCTATAGAAATTAATCTTAAAATCGCCAAAATGTTGATAAGTTCGCCAAATTTAGAGCCAGTTTAATGAAAGAATTCACATCCCCAAAAGCAGAGAGTTGCTTAAATGCTCTTAATTAGAAGAAAATGAAATAATTTTGAAATGCTTATGTTTGACTCCTTGCTCAGAAGCTCCAGTATCCACCCTTTACATGAGAGATAGTATAACCCATGAACCCCTTCAAAAAATAACCATATTTGTCAGTGAATTGTCAAAAATATTCCTCCATAATGATAATTCACACTCAAAACAGCAGTTGTAAAAACAAGATAGAAATTTCAGATGATTCAAATTAAGGACCTTCTGCTGATTTTGGCCGAAATTAAGGACTTAGGACCAAAAATTGATTCCAAAAAACCTAAGCACTTTTAAGGACCATACGTACCCTGGCTTCATGTCCATGATATACCAATACTTCTAATTTCAGATCTATGAATGAAGTCTTGGTGCCTTCTAATTAAAGATATGAGTCTGTCTGTCTGGATGGCTACTCTCTGAATCATCTTACCAAGACACTATGGGACTGATGATGTCAACATTATCTTGATTTCTGAAGTGCAAGAAAAGTGTACCTGAATTCAATAGCCATTTTCATGGCTATTTGTATGCTCATATTTGTGACAATGAGCTTCTCCATCTTCATTAGCAAAAAGCTCCATTTTTATATCACACTGTCTGAACACAAGACAGTTAAAATCTATATTTTCATTTATCCCGCAGGTTTAGTGTGTTCTGCTACACCATTTAACTTTTAAGAGTAAAAAAATGTTTCATTTAAAACGGAGCAAAATTAAAAATCTACACTCAAATAAAAAAAATATGAAATCAAAAGACTGAAAATCATAAATTACTGTATTTGCCGGGGCGTAAGGCGCACCCCCTTTTTATACACATTTTTGAAGGATAAAACTTTATTTCTGATCATTATAATGAATTTACAGTATTTTAAATATAAAGTGATGCAAATACAGAATAATACTTTCTGCAAACATGCAATTTATCTGGGAAAGAACACCTTCTAATCTTTTTTGTCATAATCCAGACACTCATCTTCAGAGCTAAATTAAGAGTCACTTGAAACCTTTAAATCAGCAACTTAGTCCTCATACAACAAATTTTTCTTTGTACCGCCCAGTGCATTACTGATGATACATTTCTTAAATGATTTAACAACTGTCTCTGTTTTCACAGCATCCCATGAAGCTTTCAACCATTCACAAACTTGCAAAATGCTAGGCCTCTTCCTGAAGGTGTAACCTCAAAATTTAAAAACTGCATCCAACTGTTCCATTTCTCCTTCATAAATCTCTTAAATGGTTTATTAATGCAGGCAACTAAAGGCTGAAGCTGACTAGATAGGCCTCCTGGAATTACAGCTGAGATTGCAATTCTTTGAATTTATTTTAACATCTTTTGTTCAATGAGAATGAAACTGATCCCATACTAGTAGGAATTAGTGATGGGCAACTTCGGTACTTTCTTGTACCCGGTACTAGAGTAACGGGTACAGACAAGTACCCGGTACAAAATACCTGTTACTCAAGTAACCGTTACTTTGAAAAGTACCGAAAACCGATTTCAAGTACTGAGTACCCAAGTAACGATTTGGAGTACCGAAGCAACGAAATACTGGAGTAACAGTTTACTGTACCGGAGTACCCTAGTAACGGTTTGCTGTACTGGAGTACCCTAGTAACGATTTGGAGTACCAAAGTACCCTAGTAACGATTTGGAGTACTGAAGTGCCCTAGTACCGATTTGGAGTACCGAAATACGCAGCTAACGATTTTGCGCACTGAAGGACCTCTGCCACGTCACCACGTGTTTGATTTTATCTGTACGGAGTAAGATTTTGAATATCAGAAAACATGTCAACTACGGAAGTGTCTGAGGAGCAGGAGAGCGCGGCGGGTTGTTTCTGGTGTTGGGTTTGTGTAGATTGTCTTTGATGGCCAGTGGGGGTTGGGAGGATTGGCGCGCGGGAAGTGGATGGATGATAAAACATTTTCGCTTTCGGTTGTGTCTTGTGTGCAGGTGCAGCAAAATCGATGGGTGCTCTATCAATTTCGTGAAAGGGGTCGTCCATAAATGATATGTCACGCTTGGAGGGGGGTTAGTGAAATTGTGACAGTTTTGTGACAAGGCGG